GGTCAAAAACAATTTGATTAGTCCAAGATCTGAGTCACAGAAACTTCTAGAAGGTGACTATGCATAAGCTATGTATCTAAGACTGGCATCCACCTCAACCATGAACAGAGAGGCACCATGCAAGGACACTTGTGTGGCTGGTGAAGCCAGCAGCACTGGCAAGGGGCCTATTTGTAGGCACCCCTCAACCTCAGGAAGCCCTTCTAACCAAGGTGTCCATTTCTCAGCCATGATCAACCTATATGGAAAACCAGCACAGGTGGGCACATCAAGGCAGAGTCCAAAAGTATGGACTCTTTTACCCCAAGGGTCACCTCACAGCAATTCTCCAAGGACACTCCCTAAGAAGGGACATTCTCAAGATAGTTATCCTGCTGCGGATGCCAAGAAAAGCTCAGAGATCCCAAACACGGCCCTGGAGGCCCTCAGGAAGGGATGCGAAGAGCCACCCTCGTGGGCGCATTTACACTAAGAGTTCATTTTCACGTGTCCAGCAGGCAGCTGACAGGCATCACCCAGCCTCTTAGGGGGAATTTTAGTCTAATGGGATAAGGAGACAGAAAACCAAAAGGAAATGGAATGAACAAGATGATTTCACAGAGCCTAGGATCTGGATTGAAACAGAAAGGGACTTGCAGGGAGTTGTCCTGCACATGGAGGGGCGGGATGGAACCATCCATGGGTGAGTCACATTAAAGAGAAGGCTCTAGCAAGTGAAGGAGCCAGTATGATGGGTAAAACAAGGACTAGGTGTTAGGAACATGGTAGGAACCAGGTGACAGTCCTAGGTCCTCAGGGAAATGGCCGGGAAAGGAGAGCTACCCCTGCCCCTTGCTCTTGAGTCCAGTTCAATGCTAGGAATTCTCCCTCCTGATCTTGTTCCTGCCTCAAAGCCATCCGGCATTAGGTTTGGAGTCTGAACCAACAACTGAGCAACTGGACCTTGAACCTTCAGCCCTCAAGACTACAGACTGAATAAACATCTCTTCTTTGTAAGTAGCCTGCCATGGGTATTTAGTTATAGCAACTGAAAACAAAATTTAACTGAGTGATGTTTTCAAGTCATTCCCAAAACTCAACCATAGCATTTGAAACACTGAAAGCCATTGAGCAGCCAAGCCAAATGAGAAATAGACACAGTTGTACATTGTTTCCATTTGCTTTCAGTTTTTCTTCTTGCTTTGTAGCCCAGACTGACCTCTAGTCTTAGCCTCCCAGGTATTGAGACAAAGGTATGATGTCTGGTTCACCTTCTTTGTTTTTTTTTTCTTACATTAGTGGAAGTCTTCCTTCCATCACTTCCTCAAAAAGACTTAAAAAGGTATGTATCATATATCAGAAAATTCACGTCTAAAAAGTCTTAAGTCAACCAGACATAATGGCATACAACTACAATCCTAGCACCAAAGAGGCAGAAGCAGGAGGGTCATGAGTTCAAGGTCAGCCTGGGCTATATATAGTGAGACCCTCCCTGCCTCTAAAAATGAATAAAACCTAGGTATAGAGATACAAAGCTGTAATCACAGCACTCAGGAAGCAGAGGCAGGAGGATTGCCCTGTTTGTGGCCAATTGGTATACACAGAGACTCCTAGACCAGCCAGAGTCATATAGTGAGACCCTCTTTCAAAACCCCAAAGCTGGGATTGGAGAGATGGCTCAGTGGTTAAGAGGACTCACTGTTCTTCCGGAGGACATGAGTTTGATTCCCAGAACTCACACTAGGCGGCTCACAACCACCTGTGACTCCAGCTCCAGGGACCTGAAGCCTCTAACCTGGATCCAAGGACATTGCATTCATGTGCATATACCCCCCAACACACACACAACACACATAACCCCTCCAACACACACAACACACATAACCCCCCAACACACACACACAACAACATAACCCCCATACACATACCACATACACACATACCGATACCTCCACATACGCACCACACACACAACACACACCCATATATACACACACACCAAATACACACACACTTACCCCACATACAAACATAGCCCCCCACATTCCCCACACATAATAGTAATAATAAAGCTGGGTGCAGTGGCACACGCCATTAATCTCATCACTTAGGAGGCAAGGGCAGGTCAATCTCTGTGAGTTGGAGGCCAGCTTAGACTACATAGAGAGCCCTTGTTTCAAAAATAAAAGTAATAATCTTTTTTTTTAATTCATCATCTCTGATGCCATTGGGGTTGGTTTATTTGAGACAGACTCTTAAGGCAGTCTGGAATATGCTACTAGAATGACTTTGAACTTCTGGCTCACCTGCCTCCCGAATGCTGGGATGACAAACGTGCCCCACGACAACCTCGTTTATGCAGTGCTGGGGACTGAACTAGGGCTCCTCCATGCATCGTGGTCAAATACTCTGCCAACTGAGCTATGTCCCAGCCCCTCCTACCTTAGTTTATATTCACAAGAGCCTTTCACTCCTTTTAAAACAGCCATGTAGTAACATCTGGTTTCCTTTGTCTGTCTGTCTGGGTGGTTCCGGCTAAGAATTTAACTGCATAGGACCATCCCAGTCTGCCAGGCATGGTACTAGCTACTTTTGTTTTGCTATGACAAAATGCCTTGCAGAAACGACTTAGGAAGGAAAGACTTCCTTTGACTCGGTTCCGGGGATCTCGGTCCATCACAGCTGGATAGGCATGGTGGAACAGCTAGTTCATGGCTGCAGGAGCCTGTGGCAGAGGCTGTTCATATCATAGCAGATCCAGAAAGACAAAGACAGCACAGAAAAATCCAGGGGCAGGTCCCGCCCTCACCCCTGGCGACCTGCTTCTGCTAGCCATGCTTCACTTCCCAAAGGCCTCCACAGGCTCCAGAAGAGTGCCACCAGTTGGGGACAAACATTTGAAACATGATACTGAGTGTGACTTCTCAGAGTCACACCACCACTAACCCACTCGAACGCTGGTAGGGTTCCCTGTGCAAAGGGCTTCATGAGCCACAATCAATATCAGGATGTGATGGTGGCCACTTCCTTGGGAGATCACAGAGAGGATTTGGGAGGCCCTGCCCAGCGACCGGGTGGAAGCCACATTGCCATGTTTCTGTCATCCTCTGTCAAGTGTCTGGGTCTTTCAACCTTTTTTTTTTTAAGATTTATTTATTTATTTTTATGTGCATTGGTGTCTTCCACATGCATGTCTGTGTGAGGGCGCCAGATTCCCTGGAATTGGAGCTGCAGACACTTTTGAGCTGTCATGTGAGCACTGGGAATTGAACCCGGGTCCTCTGGAAGAGCACAAAGTACTCTTAAGCACTGAGCTAACTCTCCCAACTATTTTTTTTTTTTTTTACATCTCCCTCCAATTCCTATCGACTCCCCTCCTCCCTACCAGATCTTTTCCCTGACTGATGACTTTTGGTTTTGTTTTCTGACCCATTTAATTTAACCAGAACAATAGTACTCATTGGAGCCTTGTAGTCTCCAGTGAACACACAAATGAAGGCAATGACTCCCCCTTTCCCTGTATCTATCACTAGCAAACAGTCCACAGTGACAGGCAGAGCCCCCAAGCCTCTCCTCCAGCCATGGCTGACTATGGACAGGCCACTGTGAGAGTTCGTATTGTAATGGCTGTATTGTTCCAAGAAGGCTTATAACTCCAGGCTCAGGGAATCCCTGGCCCTCTTCCAGCCTCCCTGGCCCTCTTCCGGCCTCCATGTCCACTGTGATCACACCATACATGCAGGCAAAGATTCATACACATAAAACAAAAATAAATACTTTTGTTGTTATTGTTTGGGTTTTTTGGATTTTGTTTTTTAGACAGGTTTCTTTGAGTAGCCCTGGCTGTCCTGAAACTTGCTCTGTAGACCATGCTGGCCTCAAACTCACAGAGATCTGTCTGCTCTGCCTCCCCAGAGCTGGGATTAAAGGCATGTGCTAAAATTATTATCAAAGGTATTTCCTGAGCCATGGAGATGAAGGGTGAAGATATTTATTGTGCAATGCTGGTCACCTGAGTTTACACCTCTCAACCCACATAAACATGAAACAAAAACAACTCCCCAAAACTGACCCCTGTACACACACCATCATGGCAGAATTGTGTCCAACCCACACAATAATAATTGTAAAACATTTTAAGGCATTTTGGAAACTAAGTTTCAGTGTGGTGGTTCTGTTTCTACCTACTCCCAACTTTAATTTTTTGCTTAATAGTTTAAGTTTGAAAGCGATCCCCAGCCAACAAAGAGGTTTAGCAAGCAACAAGAAAGGCCTAGAGATGATGAGGCTGGGGGGAAGCTTCATCCATGGCACAGGTCCTGCCTGATCTAACGACAGCGGGCATATATTCTCTGTGCACAAAGAACAATCATACACCCACAAAGACTGCAAGAGGGCCACAGATTTCTCCATCACAGAGCTCAGTAAGCACACCAGCCGCCTGTTGCCTGGATGGCAGGTGTCTTAGTTACTTTTGTAGTGTTGTAGCTAGACACTATAACCACGGTGAGTTATAGGAGAGTTTATTTGGGGCTTCTGGTCTCAGAGGGCAGAGTCCATGGCCACAGTGGTGTGCAGCATGGCAGGAGGCTGGCAGGTACCGTGTTGGAAAACCTGAGGGCACACATCTTGAGACAACCGCGAGGCAGAGACACTAGGAATGGCCTGAGTCTTTCGAAACCTCAACCCCTGCTCCAAGTGACACACTCCTCCTATAAGACCACATCTCCCAATCCTTCCCAAACAGTTCCACAAACTGGGGACCAGGTAATTCGAACATACAGCATTTTTCTTCCAAGTCAATGGCCCAGAAACTCAAAAGAAACCCCTAAACCTTGATCCTGTGACCATCCAAGGCTCTGTAGACACTGAAGTCCCTACTTAATGCTGCCACCCAGCTACACCCCCAGCCTCCATTCCATTCTCTCCCTTTGAGAAGGCTCCTCCCAGGGACAAGCCACAGACATTCTCATCTGTGACACAGTATCTCTTCCTTCCTCTACATGTCACCCCCAACCTACCTTTTTGGGATGGGCCAAGAAAGAGCAGCCGCGGCCCTTCCGCCTGGGAGGTTAAAGGTGCTTTCCCATCAGTGAGCGGCATCCCACCTCTGCCGGACTCTCAGCTCCTTATCCTCTGACCAGGCTGAAAGCAGGGAAGAGTATTTGAAACTCAGACTTTCAGAAATCAGTGCGTCCTGGTACGGGATGTATCGCAGGGCGGTGGACATAGGTCAGTGGGAGTGTTCACCTAAAATGCAGAAAGCTCCGGGCACCAAAGGGAGCCATTTCACCTCGGTTCCCTTTCTTTTAAACTAGTCCCACTCTGCTGGGACAGCCTTTCTCAATGTCACCCCAGCTGCCTTCGGTGATACAGAAGCATTTCCCAAACTGAAGCAGGGGTACATACAGGTGACTCAGATCGTCTTTTCAGAGCTGATCTGAGCAAAAAAAAAAAAAAAAAAAAAAAAAAAAAAAAAGTAGGCTCCTGAACTTTAGACCTTGACGCCCCACGTAGATCTGTTTTCAAAACCAAGTCTAAAGGAAAAGCCATCCCTTTGGGGCTGCAGATGAGAAGGAGGGCTGTGAGAAGAGGGAGCTCCCTTGCCAAGAATCTGATCTACCCCGTCCCAGGCACCTGTGCAGGGGGCAACTTGAGTGGGAAGGGCTTCAGAACAGACACAAAACAGACTTAAAAAAAAAAAAAAGATCACTGGCTTTTCCATAAGACAAAAGCAAAGCTCTTAAGAGTCCACTAGAAACAGTGTGTACTGTAGACACATTTCCCAGGGTCCAAACGGAAGTCCTCTAGTCTGCGGGCACAGAGACCATGGAAGGATGCTCAGCAACTCTGAGGCAGGAGCCTGGGCAGGTGAGTGTGGATACAGCCTCCCTGCAGCTCAGCACCCAAGCAGGCCCCTGGGGCTTTCCAAGAAACTATCAGCAGAGCCACCCGAGGCTTTGGCCAAAGACTAAAAGAAGAAATAACTTACATGCTGACCAGTGAAAATAGGAAACAGTAATAGGACGGACCCATAGAAACCTAAAGTGCGGAAAGAAAGCGCTTTGAAAATGGGAAACACAAAGCAGAAAGCATGATAGAAACCTAAAGTGCGGAAAGAAAGCGCTTTGAAAATGGGAAACACAAAGCAGAAAGCATGATGGAGTTCAGGATTGCATCCTCAGGAATTCAGGACTGGAGATAAGGAGTCGGGGGGAAAATGCACCAGGAAGGAGTAAGTCCCATGGCGGAAGATGGACAGGATCTCCAGGCCTGGGTGTGACTTCTGTTAGCCCCTCTTGGTTCAAGGGCAAAGCTATGGAGGGACTGACTGCTAGGTTGGGAATCGGGGACAGAAGGGGGGGGGGGATCGGGAGCGCGCAATGAACTGCTTCGGTTCCTGAGAAGTAAACAGCTCAGTTCGCCCTAAGCAAGCGCATCCTTCATACGGAGCACACTGAGGGTCCCGCTCATCCCATCAAGGGCGGCTGAAGACACACCCAGGATTCCATCCTCGAAGAGTCACAAAAAGATGCAACTCAGCACTCTACCCACCACCACCACCACCACACACACACACACACACACACCAGGGAATCCCAGGCAGGCGCGACCCTATGTAAGGGTCGGCCTCTCCAATGGGGTACTGTTGCCTCCGATGCTCCTGCCACTCCTAAACCCCTCCACCCTGGACTCCAGATGACTTCCTACCCTGCCCACCCAAACCCAGGCCGACAAAGCACAGTTCTGGGCGGGGCAGAGCATCTGGGCAGTGGGAGAGGGGAGGCACAGGGACCCCACAGACACCCGCACAGGTGGGTTTCGTACCCGGTGTCGGTGGCAGGGGCGGGCTCCGTCTCCCTGGAGACAGTTGCCCAGGGGATACAGCGGGAGGGTCCCGGAGTGACCGGAGGGCACCAGCCTCCTGGCGACCGTGTGCAGCCCGCCTGGAAGGCGGTGAGTGAGCGAGCGAGCCCGGCATCGGCGGAGGGGCGCGGCCCGGGGCGGGGCTGAACAACGGGCTTGGGAGGGCGGCCAGGCGGGGCGGGGCGCGGTCGAAGGAGGAGCATCCCTGGGATGGGGCGGGGCCAGAGCCCGCTGTACCACTATACAGTCTATAAGCATTAATACCCCAGGTCCGGAGAGGAGGAAGAAATAGCTGCTGGGATGCTAGAGATGGGGACAACTTGGTTGCTCTCACAGGAGGCCAGGGGCTAAGGCAGGGGTCTTCAGGGTTTCTCCTCCATCTCCCCACCACTGAGCCCCAGAATAGCAGAATGATCCGAGATGACAAGCATAGGCAGTCCTGGCTAGGGTCTCTTACAATCAGCAGACTGAAGGCGCTATTTATAAAGTGAGATCTACCCAGCTTTCTTTCTGTCTTAGTTTGTTTTCTACTGCTGTGATAAAACAGCATGATAAAAAGCAACTTGGGGAGGAAAGGGTTTATTTGGCTTACACATCCCTGGTCATAGCCTATTAAGGGAAACCGAGGCAGGGACCTAGAGACAGGAGCTGAAGCAGAAGCCACGGAGGAATGCTCCTCACAGGCTTTACTCCCCCACGCCTTGCTCAGCCTGCTTTCTGGGGACCACTTGCCCAAGTGTGGCTCTGCCCCAGTGAGCTGGGCCCATCAATCATTAGTCAAGAAACTATCCCTTAATTAACTACAGGCAATTTGTGGGGGTGTTTTCTCAATCGAGGTCCCTCTGCCCGGATAACTCAGGGTTGTGTCAAGTTGACAAAAAAAAAAAAAAAAAAAAAAAAAAAAACTAAACCCCAAACTATCAGGACTCTGCCCCCTTGGTTCTCAGGGCACCACCAGGAAGGGCAGAACACGCCAGACCTGGAGCTGCTATATATTCCATGAGTCTGGAATGTGTCTGTCAGTGGGAATTCCCCCACACAGAATTAGAAACAAGTGATTTATCTAAGACTTTCACTCATACATTTCAATTCTTCACTACAACTATGTCGTGCTAGGGCCAGGGTTCTACCCTGTACTGTAGGTCACTACTGTTCTCCCTGAGGCAGAAAATGAGAAAACCCAGGCTACCCTGCCATGCACATACAATCCTCAAAGCTTTTCTGTTGTGCTTTGTCTTAGTACTAGGGATTTGCACTTAGTGCCTTGAGTGTGCTGAGTGAGCATTCTCAACATTGAGTTCTGTCCAGGCTGGCCTGGAACTCATTCTGTAGACCAGGCTAGCCTCAAACTCCCAGAAATCTGCTTGCCACCACCTCCCTCGTTTTGAGAGTCACCAAGTTGTCCAGGCTGACCCTGCACTCTCCACCCTCAGCTCCCTCAGCCACTGTGACTCCAGGACGAGTTCACACTGCACAACTGGCTTGGAACCGGTTTGGTTTTGCACTGGACCCACGAACCTCTTGTTTTGCCTTGTCCCCTTGTCGTGTTCTTAGACCTAACCCTTTGTGGGAGTTCTTAGACCTAACCCTTTGTGGGAAGTGGAGCTCAGAAGAGGAAGGGGATTCAGGCCCACAACTGCCCCAGAGGTGGCTAGTCTCATCACCGGCTCTCAGTGTTATGAGCCCTAGGAATGGCCCACCAGTGGTGACACATGCATTTAATCCCAGCATCCCAGAGACAGGAGAGGCAGGCAGATCTCTATGACTTCAATACCAGCTTGGTCTACAGAGAGAGTTCCAACACAGTCAAGGCTACACAGAGAACCCCTATGAGAGAGAGGGAGGGAGGAAAGGAGAGAGAGAGAGAGACAGAGAGACAGAGAGAGAGAGAGAGAGAGGGAGGGACAGAGAGAGAGAGAGAAGAGAGAGTCAGTCCTAGAAAGGTCCCTGGAGTTAGTGAGCAGTGAAAAGGCAAGAGCTCGCCAGAAGTTCCCAGGAATTGCTAAGCCCAGCATGGGAGGAGGAGGCTGCTGAGATGGCCAGGATGTGGGAGGTCCCTAGGCAAGACTCAAAAAGCCTGGGCCAGGAGCTTCCCACGGCCCCCAGCAGCCCCGCCTGGGGCCTTGGTGTTAGAGCACGGTAGGGAGAGTAAGACAGAGAGGGGTGCAGTTCATTCCCCGTGCCATGTCTAGACATCCCATATGCCTTCACCTTCAAGTATGGACGTCTCAGAAAATAACAGCACACGCCAGGCATGGTGGCGATGGGCCTTAAATCCCAGCACTCAGGAGGCAGAGGCAGGCACATCTCTGTGAGTTTAAGACCAGACTAGTCTATAAAGGAAGTTCCAGGTCAGTCAGAGCTACAGAGTGAAACCCTGTCTCCCTGGGGGCTGTTTGCAAACACCCTGCAAAAAAGGGCTCCAGCACCTGGCTGTGTTGCTCCAAGCTCACCTCTGCAGCAGCCGAGCCAGGGCCACGGAGTGTGGCCAGCCTGATGACAGTATGAAAACCACCCCAGGGTCCTGCCCCTAGGAGCCCTCTGTGTCTGCAAGCTAATCTGGAGCAGAGCCATCCTCTGTGGGAGACCTGGAGATCCTTAGGCCAGCTAAATTCTCCAAGGTGTGAAGCCTGCATCTCCTAGGCCACCCAGACACCAGAGCCCAAGAAAAGGCATGGCCCTCTCTTGACCGAGTAGACAGGGAGGGGAGGAATTCAGACAGCCATCTGAGTGCAGAGGAGAGCTATCTCTTACAGGTTCATGACGCCAAATGTCAACCTCCAACGAGATTTTTCCAAAGCAGAAAAACACCCTCTTTTCCATGTGTGGGGGCTCCCCTCACCCCACAGGACCATGCATAGTGTTATCCTTCCCTCCAATTTCATTTTTTCAGATAACATAGGTTTGAGTGAATTCCAGACTCAAAGACATTAACAATGAACCCCATTAACAAGGAGCCCCAGTGACTAGCTTGGGATACAAACGGAATAATCAGGTACTAATTTCTCTTGGAGTCCAGGGGAAATAAACAGGATTTCTTTGAAATGGCAAAACCTACAAAAAGGTGACATATCTATATCACAAAAAAAATATACTAGAACTGTGCTGGCAAGTATTGGAAAGATAGAGACCATTAAAAATTTTTTTGCAAAGTCCAGAGAGATGGTCCAGTGGGTAGAGGTGCTTGCCGTGCAGGCCTGACAACCTGTCTGCCCCAGATCCCTCCCTTGTAAAGGAAGAAGGAAGGAGAAAGCGCC